GTACAATAATGTAAAGTGGTGGGGCACAAAAGACGTAGATGTCTATAAGCTTCTGCAGTGAGGTTCATGGCTGGCGAGGCACTGCCACTGACTCTTCAGGTTTACAAATATTATATTTTGACCTAAATCAAAATATAATATTATTTTCAAAAGCTTTTTTTGTCTGATGTTTCGATTAATTTTAAACACACAGTTCAACAAAAGGATACCCAACAATTGTAATGTTATCATTTAAATATTGAATTGTTCTCTCTTAGTAAGATCCCATTTTCAATAAAATGTCGGTCTTACCTTGACTTGAAGATGAAGTCCATTTGCCTATCCTTCTGGACAAAAATCTCTATTACTTTTTTGTAAAAGTCCTCCTTATGTTCTTGTAGTTTCAAAAGTCTATCATAAATCTAATCGATAGATTTATGATTCGAAATTATAAAAGTAGGGTAGACATGTGGATATTATCCGGCTGAACAAAACGTGCTTTTATCTAACGTTTCCCACAGATCTTATTTCGAGCTATTTTCTAAAATCCTATGGAGAAATCTCATTGCTTTTTTGTCGAGGGAAGCCATGCGCAGCTTACTTCCGAGTTAATACGTCATCCCTGCACCACTATTGGACTCCTTTGTTTACTTCCAGAAAATAGTGACATCACTATGTAACACTCAAGCTCCTATTGGCTAGCGCATGAACATGAGCAGAATAGGGACCAGTTATCCTCTTGCAAATAGGATGAAATTCTCACCTCTATGCCCCCCCATACTTGCCAACCTTGAGACCTCAGAAATCGGGAGCATTTCCAAAACCACCAAGGGGGGAGGGGGTGGGGGTGCTAGTGGATCGCCGGAGCTGTATTAGATTAACATTAACATGCTTATTGTAGTTGCCTACAAGAAAAATACTTTTATACTAATTCTACTTGAACCTCTTAGAAAACAACCCTATCATGATACTAAATCTTTCCCTTTCATTTTTCAAATGTTTTCGATTGTGCTTTAAGCCTTCAACCCTCCCCTTACTCAAAGACCATGAAATAATTTTAAGCCCTCCAACCTTATTTTTTTGTTAACCATTTAGATGTTTTATTCTGCTCAAACCTTACAAACCTATCCTTAATTGTCCTCTACCCCACCCCCCAAAATATGATCAACTTTGATTCCCTTCCAAATCTCTAAAAACGGGGAACAACGGAGCTGATCCAGATTTGCGTCCGATATGACGTAATATCGGAAATGTGGACCCACGGCCCAATCAGACACGTTGCTATCAGAAACAATGCCAGACTGTTTTGGACGTAATATGGTCGGTGTTTACATTAGCATCGCTAACGCTCAGAGCTAACCTGTACTGGAGAGCATGTGTGTGAAGAAGCAGGAAGTAAAAAGGAACTCACCTTGTGGTATAACCGGCAAGAGAGAAAGCCTTTGAGCTCCAAACTGTTTCAGAGAGAATCCTTGATAATCCATGATATGGCGTTTCATCACGGCAGCATTTAGTTTAGACAGTAGCTGCCGGGTCCTGCATGAGCTCAGACCCCTGCTTTTTTATTTTGTATAAAAATGTTTTAAAGCTTTATACCCAAATCAGCACTTTTGAAACAGGAAGTGAAACAGAGGGATATGAGGCATGGCTAGAATGGGTGATCTGTTTGGTATTCGGAGCAAAACACGTCATAGACATGTTTTTTATATATTTGTATATATCTGAGACCTATGCTATTGCCTAAAAATAGCATGATAGGTGACCTTTAACACTTAAATAGCTTTCCCCCCCAACATAAAGATATCAAATAAGTCCCTCTTTAACAATGACCCGGCAGATATCCTCAACTTTTATTAATTACATGTTTCTATTCTACTCTAACCTCTACTTTCACCCCCCCCCCCCCTCAATAAAATACTTTTGATCCTGCTTTAACTATCATGAAATAGCGCTTTAAGTGTAACACTTCCTAAATGAACTGCCTTGAAATGACCCTTAAAAAGATCATCCTATAATAGTATCCCCCCTCCCATTAAAGATACGTCTAACTCTGCTTCAACCCCCCTGTAGACAACGCCCCTCAACTTGTATTAATAACATTTCTTCTTCAGTTTTAACCTCCTGAACGCTGACCCTGGAAATGAGGACTTCAGCGATGAATCATTGAAGATGACATCGTTAAATCAAGAGAAGGAACACAGACACGGTGGGACGTGACTGGACACACATCTCAGCCGTGCAGCCATAACATCATAAAAAAACATTATGCGTGACCATTAGATGATCATTGGGCTCTGGGTGCTGCAGCAGCCTTTCAAGTGAGCTGCAGGCCGAGTGCTGCGTCACATTGGAAACTCCACTGTGCAGTAATTATGTGAAAAAGCACGACGTCTTATAATGTCCAAACATTTGTATAATGTCTCAACACCTTAATATGGCACCTTTAAAACATGGTTGTGTACTTCTATGTCTTTATTCTATTAGTAAATAATCAGAGGTGGGAAGTAACAAAGTATATTTATTCAAGTACTGTACTTAAGTATATATTATTCTGAAATGGACCAATCTGCACAATGACTACTTTTACTTCAGTAACATTTTGAGGACTTTTACTGTAATAGAGTATTCCTACACTCTGGTACTTCTACTTTTACTCAAGTACAAGATCTGAGTACTTCTACTTTTACTCAAGTACAAGATCTGAGTACTTCTTCCACATCTGTGAATAAGTCAGCTTACTCTTTATCCTTGCTTGCCTTTTTTACCTGCTATGCAACTTTTGCTGTAACGCTGTAAATGTCCTGGTGCAGGACTTATAAAGGAATTCTGATCGAAGATCGTAACTACCTGCATGTGCCATCCGACCTCTGCAGCTCATCCAGAATGCAGCTGCTCGCCTGGTCTTCAACCTTCCTAAATTCTCCCACACCACTCCGCTCCTCCGCTCCCTTCACTGGCTTCCGATAACTGCTAGAATCCACTTCAAGACAATGGTACTTGCGTACCATGCTGCGAATGGATCTGGCCCTTCCTACATCCAGGACATGGTTAAACCGTACACCCCAGCACGTGCACTCCGCTCTGCATCAACCAAACGGCTCGCTGCACCCTCGCTGCGAGGAGGACCCAAGTTCCCATCAGCAAAAACACGTGGGTTTGCTATCCTGGCTCCTAAATGGTGGAATGAGCTCCCCATTGACATCAGGACGGCAGATAGCTTACACACCTTCCGGCGTAAACTGAAAACTCATCTCTTTCGACTCCACTTCGAGCGATAGAACTATTAACAAAGCACTTATAAACTAATAAAGGACTGGCTTATCTAAAGCCAGTTGAGTAGCACTTGAAATGTTTTTGCTCTATGAAACCTGATATGATTCTGTTTTCTTCAAGTTTGTATTTTGTTGGTCGAACGCACTTGTTGTAAGTCGCTTTGGATAAAAGCGTCAGCTAAATGCAATGTAATGTAACTGGGAGTGACGTCATGTTAGGGCTGAACGATTAATCGATTTTAAATTGAAATCGCGATTTTAAATGATGCGATTATCAAATCGCAAAGCCTGCGATTTTTTTTTAACATTTTTTTTTTCTTCTAATTTTTAAAACCTTTTTTTTAACCTTTTTATTTTTTCTTGTGTGTCAGTCATCCACACCAATCAGAAGTGCTGTGCTCCACATGTACCAGCCATTGTTAATCAATCAGAAGTAGCCCATGATAGAAGGTGATAGACAGATTGATCCAATCACCTGCCAAGTGCTTTTGAAAGTGCCTGCCCTTTCCAAATGGCTTCCAATGGAGCTTTAGATGGTTTCTGGGTCAGGTTAGTAATGCTCCATCACGTGTTTCTATTACAGGGTGAGTCTTAAACTGAAGCTTGACTTTAAAGCAACCCAACGGAAGTTTCATGTAAGTTTAGTTTTTTCACTCGTAGCTCGGGCTGCAGGGGTGCTAGAGACGGGAGCACGTTGATACGACCTTCCTAATCGCAATTAGATCTTTTCCCAAAATCGTGCAACCCTACATGTTTCGATGTAATGGCCGCAGGAAAGTTGGTCACCTTGTCCAGAGGTGGGAGAAGTACTCAGATCTTGTACTTGAGTAAAAGTAGAAGTACCAGAGTGTAGGAATACTCGGTTACAGTTAAAGTCCTGCATTCAAAATGTTCCTCAAGTAAAAGTAGAAATGTATTATCATCAAAATATAGTTAAAGTAGCGACAGTAAAAGTAGTCATTGTGCAGATTGTAAAGTACAACTATCTCAAAACTGTACTTAAGTACAGTACTTGGTTACTTCCCACCTCTGGCCTTGTTTACAGCTTTACCAGTCACCTCGGGTTAGTCACTCTTAGCAATACCGGTTGATAACTACGCTTTAGTTTGTATTTTGTGATTAACAACATCGTAGCAACACATCCACATTGGAAGCTGCAATTGTGTGTCTCCTAATTTAAGTGTTTTGGGCCCACAACGTGTGTTTGCGTGGGTCAGCCACCATAGAAATTGAATAGGAAAATAAACATCCAAAAGAAAACTACAAATGGTATATCATCAAGTTGTTCTCCTCATGTTTATATGTGGAGATGATCTTGGGCGAAGTATCTCCAAGTCTCCCAGGCGAACTCAGATATTCCCACTAAGCAGTACAACTGGAACGCACCAAAATAACCAGTCTGCACAGTCAATGACAGATTAAACCCCCCCCCCCCCCCCCTTCTGAGTGGATCTCTTCAAACGAAACGGCTGCTTTCCAAAAACAGAAGTCTTTCCATCTGACTAATTTCCTGTTCTAGGTTTGACCGTAGGAAGTCCCCGCAGGAAGTGGAAACAAACGAACCCAAAGTTGGATTGTTTGTCAGATTGTTTGCTTTTAGTGGTTTTCGTACGATGGAAATAAAAGGGATTTAGAGCGACTGAATCCAGGTCACACAGTCAGATTACTCTCCCCCCCCCCCCCCCCCTCCCTCGATCTGGCCCGGAAAATCCCACCATGCAACAGAAAATATTCGAAAGACACAAAATGTATAGTTTTAAAAAAGTATTATATTTGGATACAATATAGAGACACAATCATATGTACATGAGTCAAAAATACAAATTCACATAATAGAAAAAAACAAAATAAGTATGCTTAGTTTGAGGGCTTAAGTGGGGCTGCTGCTTATTTCTACTTAGTGTGTCATGGGTTTTATACCGAGGGAGATTTAACCCTGAGATGTGGAGGGATTGGAGAAAATGGCATTTAAAGACAATTCAATCGACCAGAGGGATTTACTTTTTGACGCAGTGAAAGCTAATCCAACAAATGAAAATATGCTCGTTACATAAAAGGACTAATAAGGTGAATTTGAAGTAAAAACCCACAACAGCCACCATCTTCATAATCACCGTTACTATAAATTATCAAGTGCATACCGTTTTCTTTTTCGTAATGTTTCTCGCATTAATATTCGTTTCTTTGGCAGGGAGAAGCTGTGGATGAAGTGAGGAAGTTTAAGAAGCACAGCGCTTATTACACGGCTCCATTTCCAATTCTCTCACAGGTACGCACACAAACACACAAACACAGACAGAATACAAAATGAGGCCGCAGAACAAAACAATCTCCCAGACAGGCTCAGTGATACAGAAAAAAAGGCTATTATGTGAGGTTTCAGGAGTATTCATATTCTCCGTTATAAGGAAGAACCACACTCTTTCTGTCCATTATAAAGGGGGCTTGCAGTGCGCAAACAAACACAGATCTACGTCACATTATTCCGCGAGGCGAGGTGGAGAGCGGCCATTATCCCGCCGCCGAGTGGGGAGTGTAATTGCAGCGTTAGAGGACATCAGGTACTGTTTGTGTGAGCTCTAATCTCTCAACTAAAACCCCGCCTGGCCTTTTGCACGGACGCCGAGCTGCAGGCTGCGGTCCGTCCTTTCATCCCAACGCTCCTGGGAAGCCTTTTGAGTTCAAATCTGTCAGAATTCAAACCATGGTTTTCTGGATGAACCTGAGGCAGCGACGATTCATCTATTAACCCGACACTGGGCTTCAAATCAATAGTGAGGTGCAGGAATGAGTCAGTATTTTAGCGCCTCTGGTTCCCACGTCTGGAAGTCAATGGTTTTGTGAATGTGTTTTTAGTTAGAATCTTGAAATAGGGTCTGTGGTTAACACAAGCTGAAGAGATTTTTGTTCCATGACTTAAAATACTTCAGTAAATACCCCCAATAGATCCGGAAACAGCGGTCGATAACAAGTGTCTAAATGAGACGACTAAACGTCATCACGCCCAACATTAGCATAGCAGTGGTTACGTGAAGTCATGTGATCGTGCTTTGGTTCCTTTACAGTCTAACGTTAGCTTCTTACTTCAGAAATCATTCACGTGCTGTTAATATGCGGAGATTTTTCTGCTGATCAACACCTGTAAGTATCGTAAACGTTTGTTTGAGACAGATTATTTGCTGCAATAATCCAAAATCACATGGAGAAACCACATTGCTTTTGTCGAGGGAACCAGGGAGATGCTACCTTCCTGGGTCGGCCTACAATAAATACCCCCGCACCTCTCATGACGAGTAGTTTGACTGTGATCTGTGATGAGAACGCTAGGGAAACGTTAGCGGTGGTGACACATCGTGCCGCTCCCCTTGTTGAGATTCTGACGTTTATAAAACACAGTTGGGAGTTTTTTTACACACACAGCGTAGTCAAATTCCTCCAGTTCCTCTTCGACCTGAATACTTCATTTTTGTTGTGGCTATAAAGCACGCTATTAAAGAGGAAACGCTGGGTTTTATCCGACACAAAAGGCCTCTGCAGAGTTCAGTGCATGTTGCTGGAAAACGCACGATTACTAAAACGGTTTCACATGGTTTCATTTTTGCGAGAAAGTACAGTACAGCGCTTATTCGGGATCGAGTGCGTCACAAAAAATCTTTATATCCTCCGGTATTCAGAAAAAAGATGGGAATTCACTTGCTTTTGTCTCCTGGTGCCCCCAAAAACATTTTGTCCATTTAAAAAGCTCCTTGAGACTGAAGGCATGTGCCTGGATTCTGTTCCTTTTAAGTAAGAGATCATGCCCTTAAAATGTGTGTTTATAAAAAGTCACAGCTGTCAAGGCTCCTATCCTTGAATATACTGATAAGAGCACGAAGTTTTACATTCATAAAAAAGAAAAAACAGTGACAAATAGTCCGTCTGGAGAGGAAGAAACTTTGGAATAACTAGCCGAGATATTTTCAGTGTTACGGATGAAAGGCAGACGCATGCAAAACGATTGTCATCTTAAAACAAAACAAAATATATCTTGCATATTGGACGTAAAAGGTGCCCGTTGAGGAGCAACACTACTTTAGACATTTAGAAAAGAAGGGAATTCACTTGCTTTCTTCTCCTGGTGCCTTCAAAAAACATTGTGGTCCATTAAAAGCTGCTAGTGACTGAAGGCCTGTGCCTGGATTCTGTGGACAAACATCTGGTAACAGTGACAAAAAGTCCGTCTGAAGAAGAAGAAACTTTGGAATAACTAGCAGACATACTTTCAGTGTTATGGAGGAAAGGCACACACATGCAAAATGATTGTCATCTTTAAAAAAACTAAAGGAAATCATGCATATTGGATGTAAAAGGTGTCCCATGAGGCGCCTGTTGGAGGTCAGCATTTAGATGGAAAGAACCAAAAAACATCACCCTCTCCTGTTGCTCGCAAAATACATCTTGGTCCATTAACAGCTCCTCGTGGCTGAAGGCCTGTGCTTCAATTATGTTCCTTTCAGTAACGGATCAAACCCTTAAATCTATTTTCATAAAAGGCACAGTTGTCATGGCTCTTATCCCTGAATATACTGATAAGAGCAGGTTCTTCTTGGAATAACTAGCCGAGATATTGTCAGTGTTATGGATGAAAGGCACACGCATGCAAAACGATTGTCAGCTTTAAAAATAACAAAAAAGAAATCTTGCACACTGGGAGGTAAAAGAAGCCCGTTGAGGAGCCAAACGGAGGTCAAAGGTTCCCCTCGTCCAGCATCTTGTTGACCCCGTTGCAGATCCTCTGCAGGTGTCCACGGTAAACCTCCGACGGGCCGTACAGATTTGCCAGGAAGTCGCAGTCGGCGAAGTGATTGAAGACGTGGTTGACCCGCGAGTGGCTCTTGGCCGTCAGGTGGCGTTTGATGGCCTGGTGCAGCAGCTCGCGGCAATCATTCAGAATGGCGCTCATTACGCGGCGGTCAAAGGTGAACTCGATCTGGTGGAAACTGACCGCCGTCATGGCCAGAGTGTGGACCTTCTTCCTGAGAGACGAGAGGAGAGAGATGGGTTGTCAGGGCAGCAGAGGGAGGTAAAAATAGAAACTGCTGCCGAGTGACTTCTCTTCTGAAAAGTTTCACAACTCCCCTCTCTGTCGGCTGTAGTGCTGTTCAGCCTCGCATGCCTCCGAGCTGAGTAAGACTATTTTAGTGGGACAAATATAAAGTGATGTAAAAAGTCAATTTCCTTAATTTGCTTCCATCAGCAGGACAGAGAACTTGAACCTCAGGTCTTCTGAAGGCTCTCAACCAGGGACACTTTATTGTTGTTTAATACTGTTTTTAATACAGTATACAGTGTTTCCCACAGAATTTGTGTTAACCTATTCGGGTGGGCCACGCATCCACCCCCCCTCAAATAAGAAAATACATGCGAGTTCATGGCTACTGTAGACAACGTTCTTGTTGCTCTGTGTTGCGTTGGTAATGAGTGAGACACACCGGAGTTGAGGATCTGTGGGGTTTATTCTCCCAAAAATATAATTTACAATTTAGCAGTCGCCTTATTCCAAAGTGACTTACAATGACCAATTACAGGGACATTCTCCCTGGAGTAACCGAGGGCTAAGTGCCTTCACACTAGTAGTGGTGTTCCAGGCGGGATTTGAACTCGCAACCTTCCGATCATCAGCCCACCTCACTATCCATTACAAAAATCAATGTATGGGAAACACTGGTATATATACACCGCCAACTTAGCAACCTTTTACTGCCAGGACTCGCCTTCCTACATACAAATCAGGCTTGCTGCTATAGTCAGCGATACGGCTGTTACACGATGTTCGGGCAAACACAGAGAACACTAATTGCTTATTCTATTCGAATGCTAATAAAGCTTGTTTGGTTCAATTCTGTGTATTAGCAGCAGTGCCCACGCCTCTTCATTTGTAAAATACGAAAGGGGATTTAAAGTTTTTCCTTAACAAGGGCATTGATTCTGCATCCTAGGCCTAGTGTACCCTGAGATGCTAGTAATTGATTTAAAGAAATAAAAACAACCCCGATCTACTTTTGTTTTCCCTTGGTGTGAAGAATTATGATTTGTTCGGGCAAGTGTGGAGATGTGCGAGACTACTCTCAAGGTTTACCATCTTCTGAAACACATTATATTTGTGTAATTTAAATATATTAGGATGTGATAAAAGCTCTTGATTCTAACATTTTGGAAATACAAGTTGATTAATACTTCCTCATGTCTGGAGATTAATAACAGGCTATCTAGAGAATAGTTCAGGCCTGTAACCTCTAACCTTAAAATGTTATTTTATGTATTGTGTACAGATGAAACAAAGCAGATAAGCATTAGTGATGGTAGGAGTATTTCTTAACTTCGTCAGAGCAATGCCAGCTGTTGCTTTCGATGTTATGCTAAGCTAAAGTATGCTAATCGCTTCCTGTCTCTTACTCTGCACTCAACGCACTGACATGAAAAGTGGTGTCAATTTCTCATCTAATTCTCAAAAAATCAAAACTGCATTTCCTAAAACATCAAACTACTCCTTTCCTTCATCTTGCTTCCTACCTGAAGTTCTCCACCAGGATGAGCTCCTCTCCGTTGAACTGGTTGTTCCTGTAGAGAACTCCCAGCTTCACCACCATCTTGATCAGGTTCTTGATGATCTTCTGGGACTCTTTGCGGTTGCGCGTGAACTCCTTGGTGACGCGGTACAGCTCGTCCAGCACCTCGCTGCTGGTGTCGTCGATGAACAGGTTGGCCATGCTCTTGGTGGACATCTTGCTCATCAGCTTCTTCTGCGCCTGCAGCGCTAAGCTCTTGGTGCTGAAGGAGTCCATGGTGAAGACTGGGGAGGAGAGAGAGAGGATGGTAAACTCATTGGTTATGCATGTAATGAGTGGACACGTTTCCTTTCTTTACGAATGCCATTTTTACTTGTCTGTTTATTCGTCTTTAAAGGTCCCCTATTATACTGTTTTTCATCAATATATTACAGGTCTTAGATATATACAAACATGTCTCTGAAGTGTTTGGCTCCAAACACCAAACAGATCATTGCAGCATTACCCATAATCCCCTCTGTTTCAGTCCTGTTTCCAAAGTGCTGATTCTCTGTCTGTTACTTTAGATGATAATAAGGAGCCCCTCCCCACGCCCCTCTGAGAGAGATTTGGTTAAGAAGAACACAATGGTGCTCTAGGAGGAGATTCAGGGGCTAAGGGGGGGGGGGGGTTACCTTAGTTGGTGATTGGCTAATGGTTACACAAGACAAAACATCGTTATGACATCATAAAGTGGCCAAAATCTGATCAGCTCATTTTCAGACAGATTTTTATAGAAATGGATCAAAAAGAGAGAGAATCTTTGTTCCTGAAACTTTCAGAGTCTCTTTCCACAGAGGGGACACATGTTGATGTAGAAGAGACACGGAGAAGAGGGGACACATGTTGATGTAGAAGAGACACGAAGAAGAGGGGACACATGTTGATGTAGAAGAGACATGAAGAAGAGGGGACACATGTTGATGTAGAAGAGACATGAAGAAGAGGGGACACATGTTGATGTAGAAGAGGACATGAAGAAGAGGGGACACATGTTGATGTAGAAGAGACATGAAGAAGAGGGGACACATGTTGATGTAGTAGAGACATGAAGAAGAGGGGACACATGTTGATGTAGAAGAGACATGAAGAAGAGGGGACACATGTTGATGTAGAAGAGACATGAAGAAGAGGGGACACATGTTGATGTAGAAGAGACATGAAGAAGAGGGGACACATGTTGATGTAGAAGAGACATGAAGAAGAGGGGACACATGTTGATGTAGAAGAGACATGAAGAAGTGGATTTTGAATAATAGGTGACCTTTAACATATGCACAGCAACCCAAAACTATCCGTGCATTAACCGGTCGCCTGCATGTTGTGTGACTAAAGCATGTTCGTCTTTTTCCAGAACTATAGCAAGTTAAATGAAAAATAAAGTTAGCTTTAAGGTTTAAAGGTAATGTCCTATGATTATTAACATATACTATAGGTTCTCATAGTTGTACCTTTTATGGGTCTCTATTCTGCTTTTGGGGTTTTCCCTTTCCTGTAGTGTGTTACAGGTTTTAGTGCAAAGGCTACAATCCCTGTGTTCCCTCAAGAGGGAGTTTCTCCAGATATTGCCCTGAGTTCCAATAAAATAACAGCTCATCAGGAAAGAAAAAGGGCCAAACATAACACACGCTGACAGCCAGCTATGTGTGAGGTTATTACAAATAACATCTGCACTAACACGGCTTAAACTGCAGGGCCAAGAGCTGTCCCCTTTATTAGATAATGAGCCGTGGCAGCTGTCAAATTAGTCCCAGAAACCCCTCTGGCTGGCGGCCCGCGAGGTGGTTAGAGAAGAAAGAGTCATTACAGGAGGGAAGGCAGGTAGCAGTGTGATCTGAATGCACCCGGAGAACAAAGTGTGCAGGTGTGTGAAGGTGAAGCAAACTTATTCCCAGCACGCGTGTTGCTTGATTTATGTATGATGTTATTTCCTAGAGTGTGTGAGAGTGACTCAGTGAAAGTCTTCCCCCATGTTGGAGGCTCATGAATAGCGGAGGTCATACTTCACCCCCAGCCTTCAATCTCTCCTCTTCAAATGAGGCAGCATCACTTCAGCCGGCGTGACTCAAAGCCTTCTGCAGGTCGCTTCTTGAGGTGTGTACACTCGGGTTTTGAAAAATAACATTAATCTATTTCCCCATACATTCATCTAACCTTCACCACTCTCAAAGGAAACCAACCTGTGAGTACACGGGAGTAAGCCCACAAAAATAACATGTTTTTCCAAAACAGCAAGCATGAATGACGGCTGCATTTTGACATGGCCACCGTTTTCTAAAATATATTCCGATGCAATTATACAGATAATGAAAGCATTATTAGTTTTAGAAATAGCAACTCTATAGAATTCATTTGAATGATGTTGCAACAGGTCTGCGTCTACCAATTATTGTCATTAACATTGCTAATAAAAAACCTCTAACATAACCAAAAGCCGAAGCTATCCTTTTTCTTCTTTAAATAAACATCGTCAAACTTAGATTTTCAAAGAGTTTATCAACAATTTTACATCAAAATATAAGAAAATCTTCAAATTCTCACATGCAAAAAGATGACAGATTGATTGGCATTTTTGCTTTTGAACTTATTTGGACATTTTACTTAATGACAATCTAAATCAAAATGCTTTCAGATTTTCTGTCACTCATCTTATCAAATAAACTGTTTCGGCTTTTGTCTGCAGAGTGTTGTAGGTGAAAACTAAACATTTAGATGCAATTGTTTGTTTCCTCATGATGATGATCAGCGTTTCCGCCAGGGGGGCGTCTTGCCGTTATTTGAGGCCCTTATTCAGCTCGGGACGCCCTGAACTCGAGCCGAGGGCGTCCCAAAAAAAATTATAATTAGAGAGAAGATCGACAGTTTCAAAGGAGTCTGGTGGGATTCGTTTTGGAGTATTGAAGATCGTTTCCCCGACATCGGCAGTGCCTGCTACAGGACAACACCGAACGTGTGCGATTTGGACGCGATGAGCGGTGCTAGTGGAGCACGCGCGTGAACTGCGAGCGTCGGAGCCTCGCAGCGGCGAAACTGAGGCTCCGTGGTAAACTGTGGTAACATGAAGAGCCGTTTGGGAGCCAAATGATCCGGCACACTAACGTAAAGAGATAGTATCTATAAGGGATGGCTCAATTCTAAATTCAAGCCCCGAACCCCCCTGTATTGCATGTATGAAAACGGTCGAGAACCAAAAGCTGGTCCATCTTCTTTAAGCTCATTTTTAAAAGATGAATTCAATGTATTTGCCACTATAAGACCAAACATTTTAATTGAGGCAAGTTAACCATTTGAGAAGATTTCACTAGTTCATTCATGGGCTGCAACTAGGGTTGCAAAGGGGCGGAAAGTTTCCATGGGAAGTTAAGCTGGGGAATTTTGGAAATATTCGATGCAAAATTAAACAAAAAAACATGGATTTTTTTTTTTTTAAGTAGAACAGAACAAGTTTTAATTATTCTATTGAACAATTATTTGTTTAATTGAAGAACGAAAACAGGAATGTTGAGTTAAATGTTACTCATCCACCCCAACCCCATTCATTAAAAAATGAACAAAAATGCACCCCCCATCCAAAGATCCCCACAAAGTCCCATTCAAAATGTTAAATGAAAAGAGCCCTTCTCCCTCCAAAAAGTCCCATTAAACATGCAAATCTTCCTTCAAGCAATCCTCTGCATTTTTGCTAAAGCCTTTCAGTCAATGGGCTCTTCCTGGGCCTCATCAACACCCAACTCTGAGTCTATGTTCTACATCAACATGTGTCCCCTCTTCTTGCCCAAATGCCAACCAGTTTTTCCACTCTCACATTTGTGAGTCTGTTGCGAACCTTTGTGTGGTCTCAATAGCCATGCAGTAAGCAGTGTGCTATGGCATGGATATTCAAGTGTACTTGAATGGCATCGGTTTGCTTTAGTCAAGATTATGCTAAAATATACTTTCCCCAACTATGTTTAAGTTCCCTATGAAGAGCCAACCTTCAATTTAGAAAATTCCCAGTTTATTCCCGTGGAAAGTTTCCATCTTTGAAAATTCCCGGAATTTTGCAACCCTAGCTGCAACTAGATATTACTGTCATTATCGATTAACCTGCCAATCGCTTCCTCTATCAGTCCATTGTTTTGCGCCTTAAATGTCAGAAACAGGTGAAAATGTCAGCGTTAGTTTCATGAAGGTCAGGGTGACATTTAGAAAATGTCTCGCATCCGTCCAAAACACTAACACATAAAGTTTACTATGATATAAAACTGAGAAAAGCAACAAATCATCACATCAGAGAAAGGTTGGAGCACGTTAAACGGTTAACAAAGTATTTGCAGATTAATTTGCTGCAGACAGCCTAATCTCTTAATGAACTAATCTCTTCTTCTCTCGAGGCAAAACACGTTTATAAGCACAGTATTTGTATGGGATCAGCACCGGTATTGGGACATGTTTAAACAATACCCAGCCTTATTGTGCTGCAACCACAGGAAAATAATAAAGCACTTCTTGTACCTCGGGGATAAAATAAAAAAACAGTCAGATCTTATTTCCTTAATACCTCTCTCTGTCACCAGCATGCTCAATTCAGCCTAATAGGCGACTGTCACAGAGAGAATACAATAAACACGTTTAGGCAAAGTGTCCCATTCACATCACAATAGGGGCTTAATCTCCTCCACATGAAAGCTACCCGAAAGCTTAACTGAAAATCTGCATGATTGGCAAATTGCCTTTCCATGCGCTTTGGAATAATAATAAGAAAATCCAGTGTGAGTGCAGCAGACAGAATGAATAGTGACACATCCTGCTGGGTGACTTGTGATTCTTACTGTTGGTACTAGAAGGCAGAGTGTCTGCAGCTACAATGACTTTCACCCCCCCCACTCCTCTCTTTCTCTCGGCAATGCCTCTCTAAGAATATCAATACGACTCCTTGGAGAGAGCGTCAGCAGGAAGCTTCCCCGCGAGGAGACACAAGACGAGAGAGAGGGGGGTGTGGTGTTATATATCAATCCTGAGACATGGAGGGAAAAGTAGGTGTGGAATGAGAGGTCATTCATTTACTGTCTTGTGCTAGTTTTACTCCCCCTCTCCTTTACCTTGTTCCCAGGTTGCTAAAGGGCTAGTGCAGGAAAACCTGTCTGTATGTGAACCATTTTCTTGTGTTTCCACTGCAGAGACGCTGGCTTTCGGCCCCGGAAATGTGTTCAAATCTGCGCCAAACTATCTTTTTAGCCAACACCAAAGATTACCAAAGATTAGC